TCGATTTGTGTGATTTGGTTTCACACTAACCCTTGCACCCTTAAATGACTCCGACTCCTTTATGAAGCCCTGCTATGAAACCCTATTCCCTAAACTCCCGAGGCAGCGGCTCAATGCCAGCACCCAGCGGCAGATCTGCTCGCAGGCTTTGATGGCACTGCTGAAGGAGAACCTCATCTTAATAGGGGCAGCGAAGAACCGAATCTTAGGGGCTGAGCTTTTTAGCACCAAAAGGGTTCAGCTTTTGAAGTACAGTCGGATGACTATAAGCACCAAAAGGTGAAAGGTTGCCTGCTCAGCCCCTAAGAAGTTTCCTTCGGCTCTACAGGAGATACCATGAGAGTTTAGGATAGGGGACCTTCTGTATGGAAGCATGCGAGGACTCTACAGGGCTTACTATTGCAAGTCACCCCGACCCTGGGGTTTAGAGTGGTGTCGGCGCCACTGTTCCTGGCGCAATAAACCAAGGTGTGAGCTGGACTTGGGTGTTTTTGCCTCCTACTTAGCAAGGACGTGCCCGCATTGCAGGGTGGTAAGTCGGCTTGAGATTTGCACAGCCAGCCCCATATTTAAGGCAAGCAAATTAGCAAGACTAGGGTTTAGGGTTTAGAGTTTAGGGTTTAGGGTAGAGTTCAGGATTTATCGCCCTCGTTTTGGCTGTTTGGGGTTTCAGCGTTTAGGGCTTGGAAGGACAAAAAGTTACGTGAGACTCGAGTTCCTTGAGCCTTGAACCTCAAGAAGCATAGGCTGCCTCTTAAGCCCCGCCATGAGAAAGTCGGTTTAGGGTTTAGGGTTTAGGGTTGAAAGGTACCCCGTGTCTGCTGTTTAGCTTCAGTAGCCAGCCCCGCATCTCAATCGGGAATGGCCATACCACTGTGAAACCCTGAAATCTGTCAGCTCCACCTCACACTAAACCTAAACCCACCCCCTGCAAACCCTTACAGTGGAAGCCAGAAAGTTGGAACATCATTCTCCTGGTATAAGGGATTCTAGCACTAATCATCCTGAATCCATGTTACCAACTTTCTGAGGTTCGCTGTAAGCTTTGCAGACCCCCTCACTCAAACTCCAATTCCCCGAAAATCCGATAAACCTCAAGGCTTGCGTTCGGCCTGATTCCTCCAAGATAGGGCTTAAAATTATGGGAGTCTTGGAAAAATAAGGGGGACCTTGTTTTGGGGTCCTTATAACAAGGATGCTACTATTTAGGGTACTATATTAGGGTCCCCATTTTCGGAAACCCCCATATGGATCCTAAAATTGTAGGGCCTTCGAAGAAACGGGAGTTGGCACTCGGGGGTCTACACTATAACAAATGCTTGAAGATATATTAACTCCGATCACGATACTTACAACCACGTGCATAACATACTGTAATCAAACCCCTTCTATAAGCCCTAAAACCCATAACACCAAAAATAATCCTAAACCAACCCTAACACCCTGAACCCCTAAACCCCAACACCTAAAACCCTGAAGCCGGAAGCCGAATATAGTTGCCGAAGAGGGTTTTGGGGCCCATTCTACTATAATCACAATAAGAACCCCTGAAAAAGTATTGGTAGTTATTCAGGCTTCTATATTAAACTCGGAAAGAAACCCGCAAAATAGTATTGGTACTTATTCAGGCTTCTGTAGTCCCTAAACCCTAAACCCTAAACCCTAAATTCTGAAAGCTCAACTCAGGAGCTCGTTGGGTGGCACGGCGTCGCGTTCCATCGCGCCCAGGAGCTCCTTGGCTGAGGGTTTTTTTGCTTTTCAGATTTCTGGTTCCCTGTTGGGGGCTTGGGGTTTAGGGTTTAGGGTTTGGGGTTTAGGGTTTAGGGTTTAGGGTCTGGGGTTTAGGGTTTGGGGTTTGGGGAATAGAAATTATCATTTTCAATCCCTATTGGGTTTTATTATAACAGAAATGTAAAGCTGTAGGCAACAAGGACTCAGATCTGGCTTCGCATAAGGCTATGACATACTTGTAAGGCTTATAGGGTAGTTTAGGGTTCAGGCGTGAAGGGTGTAGGGTTTAGGGTTTAAGGAACCCCCAAAATAGTATTTGTAATTATTTATATAGGCCCCTACATGAGACTTTTTCAGTCGGACTTCTAAGGGACACGGTTGTGCAGCTTTTGCAGCTGACGACTTGTGCAGAATTCGTGGCCCATGGGCTTTCAGCAGTTAATGCTTTAAAGCAACACCCCTACGAGGTCCTGGGTGATAACCTTTGTAGTAACCTTAAAGACATTAACACTACCTAAGCCTTGTAAGAGCCTTACACACACACGTATATATATGTACACATATACATATATACATGTGTATATATATATATACACATATACACAGGCATGTGTATATACATCTATAGATGTATGTATGTATATGTATATCTCTCTCTCTCTCTGAAAGCCCAAACCGGAGGCTCAGGGGGCCCAAAGGGCCTCTTTTGCATCCCTCTTTCGGAGGCTGAGTTGGTGCATTGTTGTTACGGTTGAGGGTTCAGGGTTCAGG